GGGGGGGGGGGCGTCATCGATTAGATTCTTAAAATATCGAAACGCAGTAAGTTGTTTACGTCATTCACCGCTTTAATACCTTATCGTTGCGCATAAATACGGTTTCACTCGATGTCTCCATCTCAAGACCAAGCCTTCCACGAGCAAATCACGAGACTCTCCTTGAGGTTTTTCGATTCCACCTCAGCATCACTTTTAGCAGGGGAGCATTATATTCCCGCGCGTTATGCTTGTTATCCGGCATTGTAATTGGTTCTAATGATGAATTTATTTTACTGAAAGATATCATGCCAGCCTCACCTGTACTCGTCAAGATGGTGCAAATCCCAGCTCAAGCTAGAGCTTAAGCGGCTAAGCAGCACCAAGAGGTATTTGAATCAGCTCTTGCACTTGTTGGGCATTGTGAGGTGACTACGGCAACCGTGGAACCACCGACGCAGCAACGATTCAATTAATCCCAGATATTCTAGATTACCTATCGTCTCTCGCAACATATTTTGTTAATCAATCAAGAACCCTCCTTGAGGGTCGTCAATTGCTGCATACTCAGCAAGAAGGGCAAAGTCAAGCTCACACCTCGGCTCTGATCGCTGTTCAAGCTTCTACAGAAGAAGCAGCAACTGGGGATAGCAGGAAGATTTCAAGAAGAATTGGTGGCGACTTACACTGACATACGCGAGCATCGGCAATTCAGCAAAGCCGTGGAGAGAACATCGAACACACTGTTACTGAGAAGTTACTTCGTGCATTACAGGAAGCGAACGGAGAGTCGCAGTTTGCGATCACAGCTCGGAATGATAAAATCCATCGACTCGACAACAAAATCGATGCCAGTTTCAAAGCCCTGGTTAATCAAACTCACCAGCTTATGAAAGAGTTTCTTCGCCAAAACGAAAGCATCGATTCTGACACTCCATTTTTTATCTTTCCAATTCAATAGAATCGTCCATCCATTGATCTAACTCATCAGTACAGTATCTTTCCAATCGATCTGAGGGGCAAACATATTCTCCAGCTGGTTATAATATGATGTAGGCGTGTTGACTGGTGGTGGCTCAGCGGCATCAATCGGTTTAGCGACAAAATTCAGCAATGTAAGTAGTTTGTTTCGGATTCGCTCATTAACTCTGTCTCGCTTATCATAATTGTCTCTGATTTGGGGATTGTGCTAGCGACAAACTAGTAGTACAATAGCGCTAAGGCTCAACTTCGGACTTTTGTAAATTGGATGTAGGCTGTGATACATTTCGAATACGAAGGAGCATTTCATCATCTTCTTGTTGCTGTAGTACCTACTGAAGACCGTTCATCAAGGGCATCGCGCAGAAGCAGCAGAGTAGACTTCGCGAGTGGTAGTAACTCTCTTGGGCCAATCCAGCGAGGGGTCTTATTGGTAAATAGGTAACGTTGAACTGGGTTATTCCGGATATAGATCGTTCAAGCGAATCTTGTACATCATCATAAGAACCTCGAGTTGGCATGCACGCTTTAGATCTACCACACGTTTTAAAATGGATAGAACTTGGATCAGATTCAATTCGTGGCCTGCTAGCGGGATAACTACATATGGCATTTATGTCGGATAGCCTTTTGAGGACGCCCAGCATACCAATCTTCTAGCGCCGGTCATTTCTCGAGGATCCGCCGAATGGGTTTGTTAAGCTCAAGAACCGGCAAGCAGAATAGCTGTTGAGGAACCTTGGGTCTGTAGCTTACAACTTCTTTGAACAGATCTCCTGTGACCTCGACAGTTTGGACTTGGTATATAGTGCGCGTTAGTGGTAATATAATTTTCGACGCATATCTGGATTATGGCAGACAGCACTGTCATTCATCCCACAGGAGTTGCACGTAGCTTCATGAGACATATGGGCCATACACCATTCCCATTTTAAGTTCAGCGCCTCAGTTAACAACGAAACAACATTTGAACCACGATCACTTGTAGCTCCCTAAAAGTCCTTTATTGTTTGTTGGAAATCTTTTAATGTGCGCTTAACCCACATCAAAACTGGTCTAATACGACCATCTCGGTCTCCATAGGTTTGCGAAACTTGCGTGTCGCCAACAACACCAACTTCAACTGCCAATTCGAATCGATAAAATATACACGCAAGCCGAGATATTTTTCTGATGTCATTTTACACTTCACAAGTCCGCCACCATCGTGAAAATAGGGTACAGCGATTCGACAGAAGAGTCGCTGGATTACAAGATTTGAGAAGACAGGATCGCCTTGTGAAAAGAAACAACCTCGACAGTGTAGCAGCAATTGGCCTGACGAGGTCGTGGTGTTTGTGGAGAAATACGTAAAAGCTCATCCCTGTTCTTAAATTGAAGAGCTCCAATCTGAGCTACGCCGCCGTTTTGGTCACGTGAAAATCACATCTGCGGCTTCAATATGCCGTGCTCTACGCTTTGACTTGGACCTTACCAGAAAAAAAACTTACTAAGCGTGCACGTGAGTCAGCTCCTCGTGAACGTCACGAGTACACTAACCGGTTACTACTGTTTTACAGTGGCCCTGAGCAACTTGTCTTCGTGGACGAAACTTCAAAAGACGGGAGGTTTGTTTTTTATAAAACTTTTTTTAAAATAATCTGCTAACCAATTATTTTTTGTGTATTATAAAACCTTTTTCGAAACTATGCGTGGTCGAAGCGAGGTACACCGGATGTAGTCAACTTACCGTCATCTCGTGGCCAACGGATATCGGTACTTGCGGCAATGGACGTGCATGTTTTTTTTTTCTGGGGACACACTTTCGACACTTTTACAAGAAAGCAGTTCCATGAGGTTTTTGCCAAAAAGATTGCCCCTTACTTGAACCGATGGCCGTTGCCTCGGTCCATTGTGGTCCTCGACAACGCCAAGATACATATGTACCAGGAGCTACAAGAGCTCGTACACTCCACGGGAGCTCTACTATTCTTCTTGCCTCCCTACTCACCAGATCTGAATCCCATTGAGGTGGGGTTTTCTTTGCTAAAACGTTGGATCATCAAAACCGCAAGCTTTGCATTCAAGGAGGCTCCGGTTTCGGTTATCAGTGCGGCATTATGGGAATGTACCAAGGTGCACGATCACGTCGGGTATGGACTCTACAAACACTGTGGATATTTAAAAGCCGCTCTAAATTTGCAAAATAAATTGTATTGTTTTGTTTAAACTGACATTTGTTCAAGTCCATCGTCACTGAGTGCATGATCAACGTCTTTCATATCTTGTTCGGGGGCGGAACGATCACGGATGCTGGGCGGAAAGGAGGATAGAGCGGATATAATGGCAGTCCCAGTGCACGCCTACTATCCTCCACTCGCGTACGTACTGTTAGGGTAGCTTCGTTCAGGATAATTTGAATCGGCGCACATTCATCTGGTTACCTGGTTGCTGTAGCAGCTTCTTGCTCGAGTCTGTCGATGTGCTGCAACTGCTGAAACATAGTATTGTCCGGTACCCGCACGTCATCTCCGTCGTGTAATCTGGCTTGTGCTGTAGCTGCATAACGGAGAGTAGCGGGACAGAAGGATACATTGGCTGCTTGGAGTGCTTTTTGGACTCGTGGTAGTACTTGCTGTACGCGGTTTTATGTAGCACGATGGAGCGTAACCGTTGGCGCTCGCTTCGGCTTCTCCACATACACAAAAAGGTCTAGCCCAAAGTCAACGTGTCCACCACGACGCAGCCGAGCATTCCTCCATGCAGTCTGCAACAGAGGCATAAAGCCGTCCTGATCCATCTTCACAAACGCCTTTTGAGGTGCATTCTTCGCAAGTCAGATGTATACATCAAGTCCGTCGTTCCAGGTTAGGCGCTCCTTTGTAGCAAAAGCCGACTTGACTTTAGCTCTTAGAACATCGTAGCCTTCTGAAACCGAGATGTTAAACGACAGCGCAACACCTTTATCGCGGCAGCTTTCGAGCGGTCTTCCTGCCTTCACTGTAAGCTCACAACGCAGTTCACCTGGTAGTGGAATCTCCATGGTTCAAATACTTAAATGGGTGAACGTTTTTATTATGTAGAATAGAGTAACCTATATTAAGCACGTAAAACAAACAAACTGTTGGGAGGTCAGTACACAACCCGGTAGAGGTTTGTAGATAAGAACGTCAGGCACTTACTTTTTATATTATTTGGCGGGGAATTAACCCATATGGGCGATAGTCCCTCTTAGAATAGGCAGTTGAACCATTCCCCTCAATTGACTTGCGTCGTTGCGAGTGCATGCGCACTGCTCAGCAGGCCATCAACCAGATAATGAGAGCTAACGTTGGCGCGGATTCCGCGGCGGGAGACTTCTTGACCGAGTCGATTGATTGAGTTTGATTGGCTTGATTAAAGAAGACCCGCCTATTGAATAGGATAACCCTAGCCGCTTCTTACTCTCAGTTTAAGCTCCCCTATTAGACGGACAAAATGATTGAAACGGACAATACGAACTGCAGTATCCAATAGTAGTATAGAGTCTAGCTCGGCTATAACGCGATAACTTCGTTTTTCTCATTGCCTACTCCCTTTTGTGATTATGTCCCCAAAAAGTGTGCACCACACTATTCTCCCTAATTCACATGTCAATTCGGTGTTAAATTCACCAGTGAATCGCCCCGCCGCCTGCGATTCAGTATGGCTGCCTCATCTTCGAGCACTTCAACTTCCAGTCTCTATGCAAGTTCCAGCGCCGAGCACGATGTGGACATGACGCTACAAGCAGCGATCGAGGCCTCAAAAGATGACGAGGACGACGCGCTGGCGCTTCTCAGTACTGACCATCCACCACGCGAACTCATTGCCTCGTCCAATAGCAGCCCACAGAGCGTCCCACCTCCTAACAGCGCCGCCAGTCGACCAACCACCGCAGCGGGTAGCAAAGCCAAAGCCAATGGATCCAGCAATGTATCGGCTGTATATCGCTGGTACGAGGTGGAAGAGACTTTCAGCGCCAAAAAGCGCGAAGAATCGTCCATTGCCAAGTGCAAGCTATGCCGACAGCAGGGAAAGTTAGAGCGCAAGACATGCGTGAGGTTCAGCAAGAGCGTGACGTCCAATTTATGGCGACATTTAAAGGAAAACCACCCAGATGTATACGAGAAACACAGAGGAGAGAAGAAGAGCGTGCAGATGCATCGAGTCGTGGGCGTCAAGAAGCGCGGAAGGAAAAAGAAAGTGGTAGCACCCACTCCACCCGCTACTGTTGATATGGAACACGACAAGTTACAAAGTTCTGAAGACAACAGCGGACAGTCTACTGTGCGTCCTTTAGCCAAGAAGCCGAAGAGAGACCACAGCACTCTCTCGCACTATCCATTAAGCGTAGTGGACAGCGCCTTGAATCAAGCGGGTCGACAGACCGTTCCAGCTCCTGTTGGCGGGAATTTTAATCCGGAAAAGGTGCGGGAGGCGATGGGGTATCTTTGCCTTTACGAAATGCTCCCGTTCGAGTTGTGTTCAAGCCATGGGTTCCGAAGCCTCATGGTGGAATGTTCTGGAGGTGTCGGGGGCTATATAGACGACTCCAACAGCTTTGCATTGTTCGCCAAAGAGATCGCGTTTGGATACGCCAAGAAGATGGCAGCAGAGGTGAAGGTACGGACGGTGATGCAGATGAAAATGACCGACTTCTCGCATCTGATGCTTTCGGAATGGCGATCGTCAAACTATCTGGGTGGAAATGATACAGCAGTGACGTCGGCAGGTTATGTGACGCCCCGTAGCGACAATGATATGACTTTTTTCGCGCTCTTCGCAGTTGGACTCGATCAGGAATTTAACCCCTTCCGGAGATGTTTACACGTCTTGTCGATTGGAAGTCATCGCTCAGGACAAGGAAATTCTATCGTCGCACAGCTTGCTGGTGATAAGGAGCTGAAGAAGGCGATGGAGCGCGTCGTTCCTTGCAGGTACATGCCTGAAATCCTTGCCGTAGAGCCACCATCCAGCGAGTATCAGCCCTTCTGCGATGATCACAAATTGCGATTTCTGGAGAGCGTCCCAACAGTGCTGCAAAACATCATGATCGCTACCATCAATGGGGTTAATATTTCCGGCTGCTACTGTTTAGGCAGCGAGGTGCTGACGGACTCAACCTCCTCAGGATCTGTGGGTTTCCGAAACCGAAGATTGGACAAGGGCGAGTTTATCGAGAGCTCTACAGCAGCATTAACCACAGACAACTTTTATGGTGTCTCAGCTGAGATCGCGTCTAGTGTTCTCGAGGAGTTGCCCACAAGTCTAACGGGTCACACGTATCGCGATCTCATCAACAAGGTGATGTATTTACTCGCTCACTTCAAGCAGTCTCCGAGATCGCAAGCGGTGTTACGAAGATTAGCACTAGAGCAGTGCAGTATGAGTTCAGATTCCTATGAACGCCTGTTCATTGACCGTCTTCGAAACATGGCGATATCGCTGGGTGAAATCCACTCCGTTCTATCTCTTGTTGAGAGCATGATGCCAGCGTTGAAGCAGTATTTCTCGGTGCACAAAAATAGTGACTCCGATTTCTCCAAGCTGATCCAGCTATCCTGTCTATCTCGGTATGAGTGGTCTCGTGTTCGCTATCTCACGGTGATACTGAAACCCTTCGCTGAAGCTACAACGAAACTCGACAGTGAGCAGTACGTCGTTTCTTCGTTAATTGTTCCGTCGGTATTCACTCTGATTGAGAAGCTACGCAGCCCACACCTCATGAACATCGGGCTCACTGGCGATTCGTCAGGCACTGGGCTTACCAAGAAGAACGATGGTGAGGTGATGGAAGAACTACCGGAAGATATCGAGGCGTTGAGGAATCTGGCATTCGTCAACTTGTCAACTTGTTTTGGGTATCTCTTCTCGTTCCCGGACGCTAGTTGGAGTCCGGAGAAACGGCAAATTTTTAACCTGTTGTGGTGTGCAACGATACTGGATCCCCGCACACGGTCGTTCATCATCAAAGGGTCTCTACCACAACAGGAGTTCTGGGATATTGTCAAGACGGAGGCAGCAAACATTGCAGGCACCAAGGTGAAGGACAAGGAGAACGGCAACGGATCAATCGCTCTCGACGAAGACAGCGGGAATGACGTGGGCAAAAGTGCGGACTTGTGGGACGACCTTCAAGCCAACCTGGCGTCTTGTGCGCAAGAAGAGATGCTGCTGAGCTCGGCCAAATCAGCTCTGGAGATCACCAAGTCCAGTAACTTGCTGGAAGTGGAGGTGTCATTCTTCCAGGAAGAAGGACGCATTGCGCTACGTGCGAACCCGTTAGAGTGGTGGCAAAACATGCCCATGAAGTATCCGTTCCTAGCGCGATTGGCTCGCTACGTGCTGTCCATCCCATGCAACGTCAAGGTGCAGGACAACCCCGTGCTATGCGATGGAGGTCTTGTCAAACGAGGACCTTCACACATGAGTACGACGGACTTGTGCGAACTCCTCACTGCGTCGATGAACCTTCGCACGGAGAAGAACTCGCATTACGAGGCCGCAAGCAAGCAGATGTGGTCAACGGTATGAAGTACTTTACCAGCATTTACTGTCGTCTTCTTGCTGCCATCTTGGCACGCAGACGTTCTTTCTGAGCCAGGAGCAACTGCTTCTTAGCGTCTAACGGATTAGCCGGCTTACTCTTGTTCTCCTGAGTTTGTGTTGACTCTGACAGCGTCGATACTGGAACCTCGCCTTGTGGGTTTGAAGATGTGTCGACAGGGACAGGGGGTGTAGGAGGATGTGGAGGCAAAGGTGGTGGTGATAGCGGAGACTGCAGCTTTACTGGCGGTACAGTGATCTGAGGACTGGGTGCTGTCGATCGAGGAGCTCGGTTGCGCGAGGGTTTTGCTGGCTTTACAGCTTTCCTGAAGGCTTGTTTCGTCTTGGAGCGCGGTCCTTCCTGCCAGACGCCACCGAAGTTCGGCAGCCAGTCTGAGCCACACTCGGTTTTCGCTTGGAGCTCCGAAAAAATGTCTTTCCTCTTTCTATCCTTCGGTTCTGCTTTATTGTTCTCTTTTGTCAGTGATGGAGTCGCCTGCTCTCTTCGGTTGCACTGCTTGTACTCCTCTTCGGTCTGCACCATCCAGGGCGGTACTGCTGCCGTGTGAACATTCCTCATACTTGCACCCCACGTCACCGATCCAATGGAGCTCAGTCCGTCGCCCCGCGCAAGTTCCGTCACTCGGTGTATTCCGAAAGCGTTGTCCACGCCAGATTGTTGCATGTCTGCTTGCTCTTCCTTTACAAGCTGATCTATCGCCCACGGAATCCATTCACTCTTCCGCAGCTTGACAATCCCACCGCCCCACACGCGCTTGCCCTCATGACGACCGAGGGGGTTCTGCAACACTCCCTCTGACGAAGTGAGTGTCTTGCAGCGTCTCGCTCCAGTCGTCAGCGCTAGCTGCGGACCCAAAAGAGCCTCCCGAGTCGCCGCTTCGTCAACATGAGTCTCCTCCACAGCTATCCGTCTCTTACTTTCCACCTCTTCCAGCCTCGAGGCTGCCGACGACAAGAAGGCCTCGACTCGCTGGTTCGCGAATTGGTCCACTGTCTCCGCATCACCTTGCTGCTTTTCCTCGTCTTCTTCGCCGGCTTCTTTCTTCGTCAGAGTCGCCTCAAGCTGCTCCACGCAAGGCACGAGCTGTGAGATCCAGCCCAATGCTCACTCGACGACAGCAGCATACCTCTCGACGTTGCTCCGCGTTCAACCAGAGCTGTGGCCTCGTCTGGCGGTCCGCATCGCAGCGGTGATGGCGGCAGAACGACTCCACCTGCTTGCGATGCGAATCACCGCCAAAATGCGCCGGTGCGTCGGCTGTGGTCAACGAGACATCGCAGAAGACGCAGCGCAACCATTCTGACGCATTCGTCGTGTTGCGAAGCGCCTGGAGCCGGGGCACTTGGTGTCGAAGGAACTGCTGTGCGGCTTTTTGGTGGCTGCGGGAGAAGACATGCTTGCGCCACTTGCCCGTGCTCGAGAGGCGACACACGACGCAGTACGGCGCCTCGACGACACCGTCGTCCGCCATCTCTAACCAGTCGACAACAACACGGTGGTGAGCTTGTCGAGTAATCAACTTGGACGGGGTTTGTGTTGCGATGATGTGGAACGCGACTAGCTTGACAGCATACGTTGGACAGCTGAAACGACTGGAAAAGATGGTGACATTCGCTTCGGTGCTGTCCACATCATGGCTACAGCTGGCGGTTGATCCGCTCTCGTCTTGCTGTGTTGCACTCTCTTGGTGTGAAGGTGCACCATTTGCCTTGAAGTGAGCATCCAAGCAAAAGACCTCCTCCCCGAAATTCTGAAAGGAGAATTACGCCTCTTTCTTGGCGGTGGTTGCATAATGCTGACCGTTAAGGTGTCTGCACTGCAGGCGTTACCTGTCCTTGCAAGACGCATCATCGCAATTCAAGTCTGAACTGGAGCGACTGCTCCACGCGGCTCTATCTGAGCTCGAACATCGCCACCATGTTTTATACGAGCCTGTCGGTTGGTAATACTAGTGCAGCCACCGTCTTAAATGATGAGCTCGTTAACGCCGAGAATATCCAGTGGTTTCGTTCGATCAACGAGTCCTCAACGCCTTGTCGTGGCGCCAAAATGCTTGGTCAAATGAATGCCTTGGCATCAACGTTTTGAAGAGCTGTTGGGCACTCGAGATTGCGATCACGGGTTGGCAGCGCTGATAGCGCCACCATCACACACACACAGTGGCATCCTGGCGAGGCGAGGACGTCATGCTGCATGACGCTTTTAAAAACATAACGTTGCTTGCCTGTCCATTGTCTTTGGCTATGCCCAAGCAGCCAGACAGGGAGTTGGTATCAAAACCACCGGCTGTTTCGCGATGTCAATACAGAAATCGCCTCAATAAGCGCGAGTGGACTCTTTCTTCCAATCCTGAAGGAATATTTATTAACAGAGTCAAATCCCACCCAAATTTCAAGAACGAAAGAGCAATTTTGCAACGAATATACGAAAATAAGGTGGCTACTTGACGTTGGTATCTGAACTCCAATCTCTTATCTCCAGTATGCCTTACTAAACCTCAATCCATCTCGCAGCGACTATGAATATGGCGAAAGCGCCAGAGAGCGGAACTACTGTGCGCAGACGGGCCGTTGCCAAGAAATGGCACAACGTCAAAGCCAGACCTGCCCCGTACGAGGGAGAAGAGCTCAACAACGTCGGCTCGCAGCAGTCCGCGGCCGTCGCTCGCCTGGCCGAGAACTGCTCCCTGTCCGCTCCCATTGTGGGGTCCTCCAATTCCTCGGCGATGGACGCCGCATACGAGCGGCCGGCGTCCACTTCGTCCTACTTCGCCCGTCCGCCGCCTCCTAGTCGCCTGTTGCTCCGCGTTTATTCGGCCGAATGCTTGCGGCACGTGTCCAGCCATGGCACCTACTGCAAGATCTACGTTGGCAGCACCGAGATGGTGCGCGGTAGTGGCGCGTTCGCGCGTCGCTCGCAGAAACTGAAGCCGTCTGCGTCCACGCACAGTCTCGGTGGTCTACTGCACAGCAGTCGCGGCAACACGGCACAGCCCCCGACCACGCCGCTACCTCCTACCTCGTCATCGGAAGGAGACCTCAGCGGTCCCAGCAGTAAGATGCGAGTGCTCAAGACGCAGGTGCAAAAGGGTAAGCGCCCTGATCCCGTCTGGAACGAGAAGTTCGATATCCCCGTGTTAGACCCGAATGAAGACGTGCTGAGCATCCGCGTCAAGTCAGCGAGACTCATGTCGTCCCCCGCTATCGGCGCATGTTCAATCCCGCTTAAATACTTGACGATGCAAGGATCTTCGACCACCGACCGATGGGTCGACCTGAAACTGGGGAAGAAGGATGCAGGTCGGATCAGATTGCAGTTGAGACTGGTAGCTTCCTCCCGTCAGCGGAACCAACAGAACAGTGACACCCACTTGAGTCTCCCTGCAGAGGAAACGCCGGAGCAGATCGCTGCACGGAATAAGACGCTGCGTCGTGACCACAAGTACCACAGATCGGCAAGGCATTTCGATGGACGGCCTGTTACTTCTTCCGTCTTGGGCAGCAGCAGCGGTAGCAACAAGTCCGCAAGCGACAAGGACGATGATCAGAAGCGTGTTCCATCAACGCCCACGACACTGCGGGATAATAGTGCTAGTGCTACTTCGAATGAGTCCATCGACGACTCGGAACCTGCCAGTGATGTGTCTGTCTCTCCTGTGGCCTCTCCACTGCACAAGCGGGCGTCGAAAGAAGACGACTCAAAGTCGACTGCAGTAACCAGGCAACCGCGGGAGTCATTCGACAGCTTTGCTGAGACGCCAGATACATCCATACCATCGCCAGCAGTAGCACCGAGTACGAAGGATTTGGACGCGTCGTACGCACATCGCGGCACGATGAGGAGGTCAGAGCTGGGTAAGTGCAATTGACATGATTCGTATCTATGTAGAGGAGACTAACGTGATGATTGTGACCGCAGAACGCTCGAAGATGAAGATGACCGAGATCTCGCGGACGTCAAGGATATCTAGATCTTCTAGATCGTCTAGGTCATCAAGCTCGCAGGTTCATCTGGAAGATGATGATTTTGATGATCTGGACGAGTATGACAACACTTCTGCAGCGACCAAGCGCTGGACTGGGAACCACACGAAGCTGAGTGTGCTCTCCAGTCTGGACCCTCGCGAAAGCTCTCGCATGGACTTTGACGACGATATTGAGTACGAACGGGACACTCTGGACAAGAGGAAAACATCGGTGCATAACGGATCTTCATCCATTGCCCTGTCGAGCACAGCTAGCAGTACACTCGACCCTCGCGGAAGCTCACGGTTCAGCTTCAGTGACAGTGACAGTGATGGAGAAGTCGAGGAGGATGACGAAGTTAAATCGGAGAAAGTACGTGAACAACAGAGACAACAATGGCAGATGGAGCAGCGGAAGATGCAGCTTGCTCGCATTAAGGAGGTGTCTCAGTCCATGTCGGACGATGATAGTGACGAGGACTCGGAGGATGACGACGAATGCGATGAGGAGCTGGAGCAGGAGCGGGCGTCAACTCGGATCCAGTTCACTCCGGCGCTTGCGAATCTTTTGGGTCGTGAGAGCATGAACGTATTATTTGAAGACGAAGATGAAGAAGAAGAAGAAGAGAGTCCCGAGCCTTACAAGATGAGCGAGGAGTTTGTACCCATTCTCGAAGCATCCTCTCCGATGTCTGTCGATTCTGTGGACTGTGCACTGCGCCGGTCGAGTTTTGATTGAGAATTCCCCCTCCTCAACCTTATTTACTAGCACAACTCCGAACCTGACGCTGCAGTGCGTCATCCAGCTACGTTGTCGATGTCCGGTGCGTCAATTTTGATGTATGTGTGTCGCTTGGCGGACGGTGGTGAGCTTGAGAGGCAAGTGCTCCTCGCCACCTTATTATTTCGTAGATAGTATCTAACAGCCACCCCCAGCCAAAGCGAGCAGCTCGAGCGCGAACGCGAGCAAAAATGCCAGTCGTAGTGCGGTCCGAATAATATTATGATGACCTTTCAACATGTTGTAGCCATTTCGTTGTTCACCAGTCGCGCCGCTTCAAGAGCACAGTTCAGATGCATTTGTCATTGCTTAGTGAGGATGGAAGATCAGGCAGCAACATGCATTCAGGCGAGATTCCGAGGCTTTCGATGGAGGAAGCTGCAGCGTAGACGTGTTGTAAGATACTTTTGATCAACTTACTTGGGTAGTGTTATGTTTAATTAATGCACGCACTGGATCCCTGTCTGGATAGAGAGCCGTAACGAAGCTTCAGGCGCTGCAAAGAGGCCGCTTCACACGGCGTGAGTTTGCTGAACTGCGAGATTTTTCAAGAGAGCAGGTGTCAAGATGATGTGTCTGTAATTTGTCATGGGTTGTATGGACTAACTGCTATGCTCGGATCTTGTAGGAGGGCTTCCAGCAAGCAACAAAGCGGCGGCAGATTCGTATCTGGCGCAACGAACAAGAATTGTATTTCTTACAGCATACCAATGCAGCGGACCTAGAACGAGTGCGTGCTTTTCAGCAGCAACACTCTGCCCGAGTAATTCAACGATCTTGGCGTGCGGTGAACAATTCGCCTGCCTACTCGAAAGCAGTCAAGAAAGAGGTTCTCGCTCCAAGCGATCGTATCTACACGTTCGACCCATTTGGATTGGCACCTGCTGGTACCAAAGCTCCGACGGATCGCTTTGGTCAATGGAGTCGCCATAGTGAGAATTCCGAATCCTCACAGGTTTCTTCTTCACTGTTTCTAAACGACAAAGAACTCCGTGTATCTGCTTCGGTTCGAAAGCTCCCGACTGCAATTGCCGATGGAGAAGCATTCGCGTCGAGGCGGAAGGCCATCCAGGAACGGTATGTTCGACGCGATATTGATAATTATTTCTGCTGTTCTCATTCGCGTTGTGAACAGGATCAAACGAAAGGCAGCACAGGAGAAAGCGAAGATTGGCCCACCAACAAAAGCAAGAGGTCCAACTCCAATAGTGAACCGAAGGCGAGAACTGTACGATCAAGTGGTAGCGATGAAGTATGCCACAGCACAACGAGTATTGCAGTACGAACGTGGATCTCGGGCGTCGCGAGAAGATCGCGAATTGTTTTCTGCTCAGCTAGTAAGAAGCTGTGAAAACCGAATAAAGCACCTTCAAGCCGAGTCGTTAGACCAAATGATGCCTTCACAGGTGGATAACCAGTCAGTCCACGATCAAGCGGAGGTGATGGAGAAGTGGAATACAGCAAGACGCATTTGTGCTTGGAATCATCATCGTCGAGCTGTATGCTCCGTACTGGACAAGCGCGATTGGTGGCAAACTCAACTCGCCGGCGACGAACGGGATATTCGACAGGTAGTGGTTGCGAAAAGCCCGTGGGAGGACGAGAACAAGATCTGGCAATGGCCTCGCAGTGAAAATAACAACCAAAGGAATCACGATCGTCCTTCTTCGACTGCTATATGGCCTTCGATGGAGATTCATCGCTTCTTAGTTGGAGACAAGAACGTAGAGGAATCGCACAATCAGCCACTTGATCCTGTTGATGACGACGAAGCATCGGAATGGTGGCGAGCACATTGTACACAGTCACATTTGGCTATCAACGGAGCATTGATGATAGAGAAGCCATACAGTGCTGAATTCAGCAACAACGTCACCAGCGAAGGCGATGTTTTCCCAGTTTGTACGTCCGAAATAGTGGCCAATCGTGACTTGTACAAGCTCCAGCAACGAGCTAAGCGTGCTGCGCGAACCAAGAGTCTTGAACAGGACGTCGAGCAGCGAATCAAGAGTTTGGTCACTCGAGTAGAGCGGCAAGTTCATGAAATGGAAGTCCAAGTCGAAGCCAACACGCAGTTGGCACTTGAGATCGAGCAACGGAAGGTAGAGCGTCGAGCGAGAATTACACGTGAACAGCAATCTGCGATGACGATTCAGCGCTATGCTCGTGGGATGCAAGGGCGAAAACATGCACGTGAGATGCGTGCCGAGTTTTTCGTAATGGTTCGTGGGCGTGCCATCCGTCGTGGCAGGTGTGAGGAGTGTGGTGATCAGCGAGCTGTATTGGAATGTCAGCAGTGCGAGGAGAGCGTACACTTCTGTCCAATATGCTGGGTGCACGTGCACTCAACGCGAAGGCGCAAGACCCACGTGGCGATCCCAATGACAACCGTCGTAGCCCCAATAATCATGAAAGAAGCTGGAAGTACGAAAGTTCCGACCTTGAAAGAGCCGGCGGTTGACTCAACCAAGACGAATGTCGTTAATGTAGAAAAGACCTCTAGTCCAAAACTGAGAGCACTTCCATCCCCACGAAAGGAAACCACAATTCGAACAGCCGAGCCTGCTGCTGTCCAATCGAAGAAGCGAACCATAATACACTCTTCCAAGCAGGACCATATTCAAAACACAGTACCATCGAGAGTAACCAGCTCACCGAAAAACACGACACCTGAACTATCCGAGGCGTGTGAACTGGCACGTCGTGTGAGAGCAGAAGTGCAGGAGACACCTACGACGGCAGAAACAGTCGAAATCGATCCTGCACAGGGCATTCCACAAGAATCTGCTAGTATCCGGTTAATTGACGACAATTTGGGAACGAATGAAGTTGACTTCTCAACTATCGAGGGCGATGGTGCTGTGATGAATGCAGTTGTTGTTGAAAATGATCTGGAGGAGCTGAAAGAAGCTGTTGAAGCACCAGTACAATCCGTTACGACAGTAATAAGTGAACAAACCCCAGACGTTGAGTCGGTGAGTTCATTACCCCCGTCGGCCTCCGTGCCAGAGAGCACTTCCAACGACCACGACCTACAATCCGGTGCTTCAACGCCAGCCAAAACCGACACAGCAGCCACCACGAAATCACTCGAACACGATGCAGAATCCAAACCAGAGCTGAGTGCTAAAACTGTTGAGCTTGGAAACACAGCCAATGATGCTGTGACATCAAAAGAAGAGAGTAGGGACACAGATAACCCCGCTGGCTCCGCGATTGCAGGAGGTGCAGAAATACCTATAGGCTCCGCTGAAGGTACCAATGAGCTACCAACAGTAACTGGGGCGGCCGAGCAAGACCCTGAGCGCAGATTAACTGAAGAGACATCACAGCACAGTTGAAGAACGTTGTTGCGAAGCCCAAACTCGCAGGAAACCTGCAAAGCCGCAAATACTACCACAGGATTGTGCTGGGTTGACATGGTAAAATCTCGTAACTAGGGTCAGTAGATGGCTGAACCGGTCACCTGCTAAATATCTACGTTAGCCATCGATCACCCTTGCCGCGTTCACTCCCTCAGCACTACTATTGCGTCTAACAGTTCATTCACGACCTTCTAAGCGCAACCCTTCTTCCGACGCTAACGTAGAGCGATTAAGCAGAAGCCTCCTTCTCCTTAGCGGCCTTGGCTGCCTTCTCCGCGTCTTTCTCAGCTAACACTTTCTTGAAGCGGTTCACTTGCGAGGAAAAGGCCTGGTTACACTTCTCCGTGAAGGGCATGCGCATGTCATAGGCATCCTCTCCGTCGGCATAGTAACCCTTCTCAATGTCGTACACCCTGCAGCAGCAGCAAGAGTTAATATTCTTTTCTACAAGACTTCCAATTCAGTCCCGTCACAGCAGCACGTACTGGTACTTGAGCGTCTTGCGGTACAAGTGGATGGCCGCCACATTGCCCTCACGAACGTGGAGTGACACATATTCGGCTCCAAAGCTCTCCACCATGGCACGCTCTGCATGGCAGCAGCACAATAACACGTGAGCAAATTCATGTATTTAAAGCAGTAGCAAGAGCAAAGCGACGTACGGGCAGCCAGCATGAGCTTGGTGGCGAGACCGCACTTGCGATGCGTGCGAAGTACCGCTAGAGACGTGATGTGGCCATGAGGCACGGATGCCTCCTCCTCCCTAAAGCACAACACCGCATAGAAATCTTTCAATCTCTTCAACACTAATATAGCACCTGAAGTCAGAGTCTTTACATCTTGGCCAGTACGTAGCCGACGATTTTGCCGCCGCGTTCCTCGGCAACGTAGAGAAGCTGAGGCCACGTCATGATGTGGTAGTAGTAGTACTTCATCTGGTAGTTTTCCGGCAGGCACCAGAGGTTGGAGTTCTGCACCTGCAGCAGGTCATCCGCCTACAGTAAAAGCCAGGTAGACACAGGATCAGTTAAGGCATCGATTGAGCAGCCCACAGGGTGAGCTACAGCACGTCAAGTTGGAGATCCATAGACCAACATGTGCTAGGTGCACCACTGCTGTCTACATCTCCCAACACATAGCACAGCACACGTACGGTAGCGTTCCGGATCGACACCATGTTGCCCCTAGCGATTCTTGGTCAATCAGATCGAGCTTTGGATTGTGGATGGCTGAGGGTGTGCATTTTCAGTGCGGAATTCCCGCTAAGTGCGATTTCTCGCCAGCCTCCCCGCTTGCTACAAACTTCAAGTTTAAACATGCACTCTGCCAATTCCGCACTGGGCGTCGTTGCGCGCGCTGGTAGGGCGGCGCTTTAGTTTTCAATTTCCCCTGTACTCCTCAAGTCCAAGCAAGTCGCTGTCCAAGACCTCCCAGTCAGCGCCAAGCTCCAGGCTCCCAGCTCCCCCCTTCGCTGACGCTACATAAGGACACAGAGCAGCATGAGCGAGGCAGCGGGTGACGCTTTGAAGCTGCGGCTCAAGCTCAAGCTGCCGCGCTCCATGTCCGTGTCCTCTGTGGCTGAGGAGGCGCACAAGAAGCTGCTGATTGGCGCGCGGGGCGGCGCCGCCGTCAAGGAGCTGTTGAGCACGGCGCCCAATATTGAGGTGGCCATCCGGGACTTCCAGGCTGCCCACGGCGTCGCGGAGGCGCACGCGCAGCTATTCGTGCGCAAGAAAGAGAGCAGCAGGCAGGAAAAGCCCACCACCTTCTCTCCGGTGATGCAGCTGCTGGATCAGCTGCAAGTTCCGCGCACCAGTATGTACCAATCGCTCCTGGAGCAGATGAAGAAGGAGATGTTGCTGCGTATTGCAGACTTGCCGCAGAGCGAGCTGCCACGAGTGCTAGAGCAGACCTTCCCTTACATTGAGTTTCGAGAGCTGCGAGCGATCCCAATAGCTGTATTGGCCAGACAAGAAGACACACCGGAGATGTATCTTCATGAATTGACGGAGAACCGACGGATTCTCGCCGAGCTTCCTGTGCATGTGAGGAGAAAGATCTTGCAGGTTGACAGAAGAGAGCTTCAGCTACTCGTAGAGGAGTGTACGCGCGAGTATGTGACTGAGCAGTTGGAGTGGTATCTCAACCATCCGACGTCGGGATCCGCGACGACCCACCGCTCATTGTCGAGAAGGAACAGCAACAGTAGCATGCGCGCTAATAGCCAGAATAGGAAGCGCAGCTTGGATGAATCAGCAGGTGGTAGTTTGTGGAACGTCTCCAGTCATGTTCCGTCTTCGGCCGATGCTGCTGGATCGTCGTCATCAGTTTCTGGGTTTAGCGGAGAGCGCCGCCCGTCGTACGCTCCAGACGAACGCCGACGTGATAACCCGGCACTTATGAAGCTTGTGGAGATGCTGGGTGACTCAGAGTCACTCTATTTATCGACATTGGAGATCTGGCGTAGTTACGTGGTGGCTGCGAACATTCCTGGTAGTGCCACGAGCAATCACCCAAAAGAATATGTGGACTACGTGGCACTTCTTGGAGCTATGCGCAGTGATCTAGCCAATCTTCAGCGTGACAAAACAACGCCGCTACTGCGAACCGATCCACTTCACAAGTTCATTTGGTTTTTGGATCGTGCATTGAAGAACCAGACACTAGAGAGCGCTCAACTTCACGAACTGTTAGGATTTATTGGACGACTTCGTACATCTGACTTGCCTCCCAACAAGAAGTTTCGAAAGAAAGGTGGAGTTGAGGAAGAAGAGGAGAGCTTTGAAGTCGTATTAGGGCCACCGCCAGTGGATGAGCTTCTTGCCGTGCTCGACAAGATCGCAAAAATCGATGCACGCTTGATTTTCGCTGAGCCAGTGCCGGATGATGTGCCAAAGTATCGTGAGATTATTAAGGACCCCATGGACCTGTCAACGATGCGGAGGAAAGCCAAACGGGGCAAGTACAAAACACTGGACGCTTTTGTTGCGGATTTTAACCTGATGATCCGCAACTGTATGACTTTCAACCCGGACACGACTATTTTCTATAAGGAAGGAAAGCGTATTGGCAAGCGAGGAAACGAGCTTATCGAGCGAAATGCTACAGCTTTGCGTGGTGAGCCTCAGCGAATCCGCACTAAGAAACGTCGCAAGACTGGAAGCGGCCCCACCAGCGAGGCTCTTAGCATGCTCACAAGTACCGGTGTTGTGACGATCAAGGACTTTGGCGATGTTGATCAATCTGGGATGATTCCGGAAGGCATGTGCGATGAACTGTTGGCGGATGTGGCACTCGTGTTGTCGGATCCGCTTGTAAAGCAGCTTATCTGTGATGCTCTTATGAAGAACCTAGTGGTATGCTGGCAAAGAAAAGAGCTTCCAACGGACAACCTGATTTGTCGTGCGCTTGTGCAACTTCTTCAGATTGGTAACCCATCCAGTGTGCGCCGCATGATTCGGAAGCAGGACTTTGTGCTGCGTGCGCCACAAGTAGTAACCATGCGTGTCGTGCTGCCGCTATTACTGCGCACGATGGTGGGTTTCCGTGTGTATTACGCATTTCCCGCAGGATTGCAGCGTGAATTAAAGACAAAAGCGAAGGAAGACGTTTTGAGTACTATGCTCTGGGAGAACGTGCTGCGAGCAAGCTCAGCTATTCGTGCGATGGCCAAGTCGTTTGCTGTACAATGTCTGGTGGATCACCAGGTTGACGCTGGATCACAACTGCTGCACCATTTGCTTTTGGCTGAAGAAGAAACGCTTCTACGCGACCGTGTTTTGCTCCATGCAGTGGCTGAAGTCGTGCTGGAACAGATGAAAGTGGCCGCCGCAAGCACTAGCAGCAATAACGGTAGCGATGGTGGGTCAAATTCTGCTGAGAACGGTGAGGTGACGATGACGCTGAGCGAGCAGTTGCAAGCTCTACCAGTATGGACGCAGGTTTTCGACGGCTTTTTTGTGGATGTTCTCGGAAAGCGTATTCAGGCAGCCAAGGAGTCGACTGGGTCTGTCGTGCATTTTGCTGATGGTATGGTTGAGTCAGTTGAGGAGGAGCAAGACACTGCTGCCTCAGGCGAAACGTCATCGAAAAAACGCAAACGACAACACGTGGTTAAGAGTTTCCCAACTCCAGTGTTCCACGAGAAAACGGTCTTGCTGATGTCGTCACTACTTGCTTTGATAGAAAAGGGGGGTTCTGCAGCCGGAGGTGACGTGATGATCGCTTCCTACCTCAAGAAAACGTTGGGCGTCTTACGCACCAACTGCTCGTCGTTGGAAGACTTTGAAGCTCTTTGGAATAGCCCCGTGTTTTCAGGGTGTCGGCAACTCTACGAACCGATGTTGTTAAAGTGCTCTACCATGCAAAAAGATTTGTTCGCCGTCTTATCATCGGATGTCAAGGCCGAAGCGGTTAGTGGGCAAAAGAGAAAGATCGATTCGGCGACTATCGATGCCGAGACGCAAGGTGACAACTCAGGTGTGAACTTAGACGCTACTACCGCAGATGAAACGATAACGGATGTGGTTATGAAGTCGGAAGGTGCAGGCTATGACGGCGCGGACGAGGATTCCAATGTCTCTGGTGCCGATGCAAAACCTGCAGCTGATGTTGAGGCAAACGGGGTTGTCGAGGCTGGTGCTGCTGTCCCGGTCACAGATACCAAGGTTGAAGAAGATACTAGCAAAAAAGAGAGAGCTACAGTACTAGCAGAAGCTGATAGCAAGAACGCAAACACTGACACGGCGAGCGACAATTTAGCTGTAAAAGGGGATGCTTCTGCTGTCAATAGCACGGAGGAGGAAAGGAATGATGTCGCTGTCAAGGCTGACAGTGTGGAGACTGATGCCGAATCTGTGGCTACTGTTGTTGAGAACAACGGAGACAACATCAATGTGAACATGGAAGATGCCGAGGAAGAAACGAAGTCCCCTGGGGCGAAAGATAACACTAGCGGCGCTGATGTAGACTCACCGGATGATAGTTCTTCTGACGTTCTCCCTGCGTCAACAACAACAGCTGAGACCAGCAGCGAATCCACACACCAACACGAAGAAGCAACCACCAACTCAGCCGGGGATGCTGTGGATACTGGCGACAAACAGAAAGAAGTCGCCGCTGAGGCTGTGCCAGAATCAGCAGCGGAGGATAAAAATGATGGGGAAGAGGGAGCACAAGCAGTTGTAGAAGAAGAAAAGGAGGCAGTCGAGACGTAATAAGCGTACTGGGCACAATAGTAAGCTTCCGTTTTGTTCATCATCCCACCCAATAGGCAGGGTATAAGCCCCACAACTGGTATCTGGAGTCTTTTATCGCAGCGCATGTAACAGCAGCCTTGCGTGGATATCCCTTCAAAGTCCCAACTCGTAAATAGAAGGCTGTACACGTATCCGTGTATTTTTTTTCATGCCTGGGGTGGTAGACTCAGCTAGTACAAATTGCAATCATCGAGACGTCATCTGACAGCTTGGAACCGACATTTTCATGATGCTACCTACATGAACAGACAGACGAATAATTCTTTGGTGACGGACAACAAAAACTACGTAGATGACCACGAAACGAATCAAAGTAAATGAGATACATTATCACCAACTTACAAACAAACTAATGTCGACATAAGCGTCATTCTCGCCGTCAAATTGTACGCGTCGACTATGCGTTTCTTGTTGCCTACAAGCTATACATCTTGATCTTCAGGAAAATGGCGGAGACGAAGAAACCCAGAGCGGACATGACACCACCCAGGAACACCGGCAACTTGTATCCGAGCGAGGTGTTGACGATGGCAGCACCAATTGCGTAGTTAAGGAGCTGGCCGAAGCAGTTGGCCGAGTTCAAAGCCCCCACGTACATACCGATCTCCACATCCTCGCCCATCACGTGGATGATGACAGGCACGATGCAGGAGAACCAAATCGAGGAAGTCATGCCCGTGATGGCAACAACGAAGACGTCGAAGCTCTTGTTGTCGACCCAAGCCATGATGAGAAGGAACATCTGAGGGATGGTCGAGAGCGTGAGCACCCACTTGAGACCGAACTTACTCACTAGGAACGGGATGCACCACGAGTAGACGTATCCGACGATGTTGTACAGAAGGTCAGCAGTTCCGCCAGCGAGACTGACACCGTCATTGTAGGCGGTTTGCTCCGCCGAGCAGGGATCACAGCTATCGGCGTTGGCGGCCGAACCACCGTATACCTCAAGGCCGAAGAACTGCCCCTTGTTGCCGTTGTAGGCCGTGTAGCCGTACTGCACGAAGAAGAAGCCGATACCGTACACCACCAGAACAGCGGGCAGGGTCTTGATACCGAGGTACACCGAGTAGAAGGCGCCCTTGACCTGGACCCAGGCCGACGACTTGTCCACCTTGTTGGGGTCGAGCGGGGTTTCGTGCGCACAGACACAGGCCACGACCACACAGACGATCATAATGACAGACAGTGTGCCCATGAACCAGTGCATGGTCTTGTAAGCAGCACCGAAGATGTCGATGTACACAGCAATGACAATAGATCCAAGCGTCGACCAAGCCTGACCGAGAGCAGCACCGGTCGTCTGGCGGTCACCGGCAAAGTCGGCAACCAGAAGCATGGCCGGGGTCTGGACGACGTTGACAGTGATATCCATCCAGGCGTAGAAGATGATAGTGAACACGGACGTCCACTTGCGGTCCATGTCGCCATCAGTGCCGTCGCCGTGGTCACCAAGAGCGTCACCAATTTCACGGGTGTAGCCCATAGCAATCCAGCAAATCACACTGAGAACACCAGCGACGATGAGGTACGGACGGCGACGGCCAAGACGAGACGTCGTGCGGTCACTGAAGACACCGATGCTTGGGCCAACGATGACTCCGACAATAGGGCCAATGAACTGGGTCAGCTGGACTGCAGAGTTTGATAGCATCGTCGACAGGTACGGGCCCAGAGCTGCCCACTGCGCCGACCAGGCCATCTGAATAGCCATACGCGGCATCGACACAGCGAGCAGCAACCAGATCGACGGGTGCGGCAACGGTTCCTCGTTGCCAGTGCCGGTCACGGAGCCAGGTTTCGGTGATGCATGGAGCTCGTAGCCAGGGGTGCCTGCTTCAATGTCCTTCATGGTGTTGTCGTCGTCGCGAGCTCAGACGATCAGGAGAAGTGGTTGTTTGCTTCGGAAAGCAAATTGAAGAATGAACAGTGCGGGTCAGTGCCCTCAGACGCGTCGGCGGTGTTGTAGGACGACACGAGACTCGCAAAAGGTGTGCATAAAGCTCAGAATGAGCAAGAGGAGAGACAGAGGTGACCTTTATCCCTTCCTAATAAAATGATGCTGTTTGGTCCCAAACGTGTAGATTTATGTGCAACGTCGAATAGGTGCTCGGCAGATGGTGTGTGCGGTGCATGTGGGTGAATGTGTCGACGATTTAGGGGGTTCATATCGGTGGTTAATGCAAAATTGCGCTCCATGTTGCCGGCTCGGTGTTTGCTGCCAATTCGACCTGCTCTTGACCTCAACATCGTTTCTCCATCTTGGGAGTTAGATCTTCTTCAGTTTTGCAGGGAAGAGCTGAGCAGGGCTCGCATTTCTGAACCAGCTGGCGAATGCTGCTTGGATTTTATCGACAAAGCTCAGTTTCTCCAGTTCAACCACGTTGGGCAGCTCAATTTTGCCAGCTGTGCCTCAAAATAGGGCTCATCGTTTTGCAGCCCAAAACTAACGCGATTCTAACGCGGCAATCAGATTTGAGTGGAGGCGATTCAATACTTCAACTTGAACTTTTTGGTCTCGCAAGCAAAGGCGATCGGCGATGCCTTCAGTGAACTTCGCTGCGAACGCCCGGTTCTAATACCAAGTGTACGTGCGTCGGGTGTTCAGAACGTGCCTCCTAGGGAACACTCAACCTGATTAAGGATGACAGTGCCGCCGGAACCGCTGTGCGACGAACGCACGCACGCTGCAGCGCTGTCGAAAGCCCTTCATCCTTACGCGGAAGGCTCGTGTTGAACAGTGCTGGGAGCATCACAGGAGGAAAGATTCAAGTGCACTGCTGGATTTGACATTTCCAAGGTCTCGCTTTCGAAGCATGCCTCACGCTGCAGGAATTGTAAAGAGATGAAGGGCAGTGATTCTTTTGCATTCAGTACTCTGCTGGCAGTGCCAACCTGGCACCAAAGCAGGGCCAGCAATCACCACAATTTGTGACCCACAAGGTCGTATTGAAGGCGGGTTGGGATGATCTGCTCTGTCTTCGCTGATTTCCTGCAGACCAAGACCATCCCAGCTGTACTGTATCGCTCCAATATTATCGAACAGGTCTCACTCACGGAAACGTTAACCCCCCCCCCCCCTGAACCCACTCAACTCGTGGTCATCGAACATTACGAATACAAACACAAGTACATGTATGCAAGACAGCATTGCTCCGCTGGCAATTGTACGAACGACTTGTCCGGGACGAGCCGTAAGTTGTTGCAGTTCGAAATGATCACCTGTCTCTTTTGTGTACTCGTCCCGCCATCACTCAACAGTTTTAATTTCTTTCAGCGTCACTTTATGAGTTTTTAGAATTATATGTATGCTCTTCAGCATTGTTTCCCGGATTCGCCTTGGAGTGCTGCATGTATTTATAGTGAGCTATACGATACTTTATGGATAGTATCAAACGAAATGAAGCGGATTAACGAGTTTCCTTAGAAGTTGCTCCACAGACAATGGTGTATAAAGCGTGCATTAACGCCAGCTTCAACGACGCGGTACTCTCCGTACACGCAGACCGCGTCGGCATTCTGTGTTACTTCGAAGTATACAGCACAGCTTTTTCATGTAATCCACTTTTTTTTTTAAAAAAAAAAAAGAAACTACACGTTAAGTAAAGTCCAAGTACTTATACAGACAGTACCAGTTAGCAGTTATTCATACTCATAAAATAACGTTACGTATTCAGCACATAAAAATAACAATATTATCAAATAATATTTTGAACAAGATGTTTAAGAGATCTTTAGCGCGATCTTTTTAACGCTGGTGCCTAAAGCTCAACTGATCAAGACAAGCCCATTCTTGACGTGGATGTCTCTGTACTAGACAGAATCGTATTCGGACGAGCGTCTAGCTATAGACTCATGTGCCCTGATCAGGTAGAAGTGCATTAGTACGCTGCTTGCTAGACGGTCTTTCCACTCGAATGATACTCGGAAACGCCGATGGGAGAGGACTAAATACCGAGATCACCACTAAGAAACCAGCTAGAACTAAAGCACCAAGCTCCATAGAAATCAGTGTTACGCCCGCAAAAAAAAACAAAAAAAAACTCGGAGTTCGATTAGGCTCAGCTTTCTACATGTAGTACAGTGATTCCAGCTTCTATTTTCTTAACACGTTTGCCAAATAGGTATTATCTAGAAACTAACGACCTCCGACGACCTTGCTGACTTGCGTCTCAACCCATCCGTCCTGCTCAATGTGGTGTAGAGCAGAGGTCAACAACTATAGCTACATAAAATGTTCGTCAGGATTTCCAAGCGGAAATCTACAGAAGGAAGGACTGAAGCAAGAAACAGCCAAAAATGATACTACGAAGTACTGATCGTCTTTTTCTCAGCCAACAGGCATCGCCTTGGTACGTATGGTCACCAAGGCCTATTAGGCTCTTACAGGCCTCCTTTATTATAGTCGTTTCGGTCATTTACCAGAGAGTTAACTTTTAAATGAGCAGCGTATTCATTAATAAAAAAATCAGTTCTCAAAGAGGTATTTTGAGGTCGATGCACAGATACTCTGGGAAGAGAAACGCATTGTCGGCACTGCAAATGTACGGTGCATCGTAAAAATACAGCATGTTGAAATACGAACGTGTGTGAAGTTCACACTGTGAACTTGTCCATAGGATAGGGCTTAGAGTTATGTACCATGAAATAATCGAAAACCAACAGTTTATGAAACTTGAAACCTCCTTAATCCGACTAAGGAGCAACTACAAAATGAGAGTATGTCTTCTTCTTCTTCTTCTTCAACTTGTATGTATAAATAGTGCTACAATAAACTCTGCCGCTGTAAAAAAAAAAATGCACCGGCAAGTTATGGTGGTAGGTCACTAAGAAATGAATGACCGCAGAATAGATATCGCTTATTGTATTACTTTCCGGACGAGCCGTTACAAGCCTACCGCACATGTACGCTTGCATTTATGAGGAGCTTGAGCCAGGCTCTGCCTGCCTAGAGATTATCCTTTGGATGCAATTTTTTTCTGAAGCAATCTCTCTACCATGGTTGCGACCGAGTTCGATCTTTAAAAATGTACTACAAGCACTGGAATGCAAAGTTGGGACCACCAGTCGGATTTAGAATACATTGGCTTGCGAATAGTATAGAGGTAACCTACCTGGCGGTTTCGGACACAAAGCCATGAGCCTATGATCCTGTTTTCCTTGGCTATTCTCCTTTTCTATAGACCATGGCACATCCGTCGATGCGCTCTCGCTTGTGCGAACAAGAAGTTCTAGTTCTAGCAGCCAGAATAGTGTCCATCCTCGAAGAACTCTATGCGGACTTATCCCACTCACTTGTCAACCGAAAGATATTGCGTTCGGTAATCGAATGTGAGTGGAGGCTTTTGGGGGTATAAGTTCAACTTGAAGCGACTTGATTGTTTAACAGTCGACGAAATGTGCAGGCTGCACTGCAGCCCCATCAGTGCAGCAGATATATACCTACAAGCACGATACCGTACATGTATATGTGTACTGTATTGAATAGAGGTTGTGTGTGAGTTGCATCTTTCTTGAGGCCGCGGATCACTGAATTGCTGAGCAGGTGCAAGCGACCTGAAACACCGAAAACTTGTCTCGCTGGCAAAACACTACTACGTGTTGTAATAGACGTAGTCTAGATCTGTAGCTATCTGCGCACCGGCAACGAGGTCAGTAGCATTGTTGCCACTATGTGGCATATAATTACTTGCGCCGCGTAAATCCGATTTTGTAGTGCAGTGCGTCGACAATTGAAACGATGAAAAGTTTGAGCGAAGCAATGAAGAGCAAAGCCTTTTACAAAAGGTGCGTAATGCACATACCTTAGTGAGAAGCTGCAGGGAGGTTACACGTATCGTCAGGGCGATGGTGGCGACGACGTAATGGTAATCCCAAATTCCTCGGTTGTGCTTGTTGCGTCTACGGCTCTTCATGATCCAAAAATCTGGTTTATTCGTGTTTGTTTAAGCATCACATCATCGGTAATACTCTATTTGCCATTGCGTTGCTTTTGATGAGTCCCACCGCTGCGGCCGCCATCATAGAGCTGTGCTCTAGAAGGCTCTTTGTAAGAGCACATGCCGGCGCGGGTCGCGCCGCGCGGCGGTGCCGCATCGCGGTCGGATACAGCTTCAAGCCCAAACTTCAACCAAACTGCAACGTCTAATGCGTATGCGGCCTCCACTCAACAATGTTTGCAATTTCGACAACAAACCGTCTGTCAAGCTCAGTCCCACTCTCAATTAATCTCTTCGCCTTCTTGTGATCTGGGTGTGGAAGTCTCAATTCTTACAAGATCAATTACCATAAATCAGTAATATGAACTGAGATACTTGTAAAAATGCCTAGTAGTATTACAATCACATACTACTACTACTGCGTAGTATAATTGCTACCACAACTTTCTAAAGCGATCATATTTACTCTCTTTTTGCTCTTACCATCACACAAGCCCGTACAGATCTAGAATGCGAGACTTTGGTGTTCACATTGTTCACAGAGATAATTCAGCTTTGACGTCGCAGTGAAACATCCGTTGACAACGGATGAGCTGAAATCGGAGCGGACTTGATCCACGCTGGACACCGCGGGTCATTATGGCGGTGTTGTTGGGGGCTGATAAACGCAACTCTACGCTACATTCGAAACGGCCGCAGATTTGGTGTGGAAGTCAACTAAGCCAAATGACCATTAAAAGGATTACCGAATGTATGATACCACAATATCGCTTTTCTCAGCAAAACGCAGCTGTGCTTCTCAATGAAACCTTAACTCGCGCTATTTTGAAACTTTAGATTTCCTCTCTCGAGATTATTATTCTCAAATTTATTTACCTGATCTCAGTACATACAGTATTACTGAATTATGGAAAAATTCACTTCTTATGGACCCTCGACTCGAGGTTTGGAGTCGTAGCTGCCCGAAAATGGCCAGCAGGAAAGTCCTTCAAGGATTTGTACGTTTTCTACAACTACACTGTCCCGCTGTGGGCTGTATATACAGTATAGGCTTTACTGCTGTATTCCAAATGTGATTAAAAAAACAAATAGTTTGGAATGATTCGTCTGCAGTTTAAACTGAGTTTTTCGTCGACAAAACTGAATTTCGTTCGGTTAAATCTGTATAAAAAGCGCAGGGCGCTTCTGAGCCTAGCTATTCCGCAGAGAAGCACCCCATTAGACCCGAAGTGAAAGTGATCGACGGCTTGTATAGTTACGCGTAACCATAAAGTATTCATGCTCGCGGAATGCCCACACGTACATGACTGTTTATTAGCTTATAACAAATGGAGCGCCACCCAAGAAGTCGTTGCTGTGTTCAAGGATAAGTTCGCGACTCGAATATGCTTTTTGTCATCCTCGAACTACATGTAGCCGCTTTTGTCCCTCTTCGTAAGCTCTCAAAAATATGGTCAAAATTCCAAAACCAGAGTTTAAAACTGTTCGTTTCCTAACCAGATAACAAATCTCGGACGAAACTAAACACAAAAGTCCTGAGTTCACGTTTGATCCTGGAAAAGAACCCGACGGCGTAAGTACTCAAAAGTACTAAGCGACTTATTGCCTCAGAAGCTTGAAATTCAACTGAAGCTGGGCTGAACGTGCCGCCTTGTGTTTTTATGATACTCCTCTAGTCGTCCTTGACCGATTTGCCGATCGATTGAAGCGCTGTCTGATCGATCTCATTCCTCAACTTGCTTCCTCCGAAGCACCACTCCGCTCCTTCTCACCTATTATCTGCTGAGCCTAACTATGAAAGACGTTGAAGCTGGAACACCGGGATATGAACTCCATGCATCACCCAAGCCTGGGTCGATCGCCGGCGACGAGCCACCGCCGTCACACCCGCCAATCTGGCTGCTTCTTGCTGTGTCGATGCCGCGTATGGCTATCAACATGGCCTGGTCAGCGCAGTGGGCTGCCCTGGGTCCCTACCTGTCGACGATGCTGTCCAATTCGGCTGTGCAAGCCACGCAGTTCATCGGTCCAATCGTCGGTGTCATTGTCGGCCCCAGTATCGGTGTCTTCAGTGATCGCACCACCTCCCGCTTCGGTCGTCGTCGCCCTTACCTGGTTGTTGCTGGTCTTCTAAGTATCATCTGTTGGATTGCCATGGGCTACACCCGTGAAATTGGTGACGCTCTTGGTGACCACGGCGACGGCGGCGATGAGAACATGGACCGCACGTGGACGTCTGTGTTCACCATTTTCTTCTACGCCTGGATGGACATCACTGTCAACATTGTGCAGACCCCGGCCATGCTTCTGGTTGCCGACTTTGCCGGTGACCGCCAGACCACCGGAGCTGCTCTCGGACAGGCCTGGTCGACCCTGGGATCGATCGTTGTGGCTGTGTACATCCGCTCTTTTGGTGCTGCCTATCTGACCATGCACTGGTTTATGGGCACGCTTTCCGTCATCATGTTCGTCTGCATAGCAGTCGCGACGGTTTTCGCCCATGAAACACCGCTCGACCCCAGCAAGATTGAGCAGGTTTCCGCTTGGACCCAAGTTAAGGGTGCCTTCTACTCTGTGTGGCTCGGTATTAAGACTCTACCCAAGGTGCTGATTGCGTACGCTATTGGCTTCTTCTTCGTGCAGTACGGCTACACGGCCTACAACGGCAACAAGGGCCAGTTCTTTGGCCTTGAAGTGTACGGCGGAACAGCGGCACAAGCCGACAGCTGCGACCCCTGCTCGGATGAACAGAACGCCTACAACGACGGTGTCAGCCTTGCTGGTGGTGACGCCGATCTGGCCTACAACATTGTCGGCTACGTCTACTCGTGGGCTCTGCCCTTCCTAGTGAGCAAATTCGGTCTCAAGTGGGTGCTCACTCTGTCCACCGTTCCGCAGATGTTCCTGCTTGCCATGGCTTGGGTCAGCAGCAAGGGCTTCGACGTCTTCGTCGTGGCTATCTGCGGTATGACATCGGCAGTTTGGTTCTCTTTCATCGTGCCAGTCATCATCCACGTGATGGGCGACGATGTAGAGATCGGCATGTACGTGGGAGCCTTGAACTCGGCCAACTGCTTCGGCCAGCTGCTCAACTTTGCCATCGGCACGGCCATCGTGGACACGTCCCTCGGCTACAAGCTGCCGGTGTTCATCGGCGGTATTATGACCACGTTGGGCTTCCTGACCGCTGCCATCTTCATGAAGATCAAGATGTACAGCTTGTAAGGCGTCGACGTACAGATGCAGTTTCTTTTGTATGCGTAGTTTTTACTCTTGTTCTTCCTAACCGATCAACGAAATTGGCTTGCATTTCCGTTGTATCACGTCTAGAGTATAGTGATGATAACGCTCCCACCGGAAAATGATTCGCATTTGAGTCTACGGTGAGTCTCTGAACCGCTCCGTCACGAGTCCGTGAGCAACAGGGTGCGAGTCCCACTGGCGACACTACTTGGACCTCTCACTTGATTTCTTCCGGCTGAGCTCAGCACCGCTACAATTATTAACGTCTGATACATGAGCTTCAACCATCTTCACAAATTGCGACTCGCAACTAGGGTGGTTTTGTAGCTTTTAATTCGTTTTTAGCTAAATACGTACTTAACGGAACAAAATTAATAACCGTTAAAAACAACCCACGCAAGGGAAAATGGAACAGGCTGTTTTCGTAATTTCTACATCTTTGCTGTGAGATCAGCTCTGGGATCAGTTCGCGCAGCACTTCACTTCAACCTGTACACAACTCCAAGCCGGACCGCGTCGCGGTCTCCGCGTACATGGCATCCATACGGCTTGCGTTCTTTTCGATTCCCTGGCTTCATGCACTTACCCAACTTCTAAAAGGTTTCGCATTATATTGAGCTCACAACGACAAGTTCCTCAACCTACGCAAGCACCTCGACTCAAATGGGCCGCAGAGACGACCCTATATGGACGGAGTTCACTGCTATTCGCTGCAAGGCTCCACCAGCCAAGTTGCACCCTGATGTCGCCTGCAACTACTGTGACGAAGTTTTCACAAACGCTCAGCCAAGTCGCCATCTCTACCCTCATATCCAAGTCTGTTCTCGTGCCCCTACAACGACGAAGAAAAGGTGGGCAGAATACGCCTCTCAGAAAAAGCGCAAGGCAAGTCAAGCAGAGTTTCGTTCACCATTGAAGTCTCGTCGAACGAGCTACGGAGACGCTGTCCGTACACCTCCTACAAAGGGTGATGTGAGCAAAGCTGAAGAGGGGAGTTTTCATTTGGACATCGCCAAAGCCTTTCTCACGTCTGGAGTCCCATTTCGAGTGATTGAGAACCCCCATATGAGAGCGTGCCTTACTCTCTACCGCCCGGCCATGAAGCTCCCAACGCGCCAAACCCTTGCGACGAGTTTGCTGGACGCAGTCTACACCATGGAAAAGAAGAAACTGGCGCTGCTACTCAGCCGACAGACATTCTTAGTAGTTATTACGGACGGGTGGTCGAATATCAACCGCGAAAGCGTTGTAAATTACGTGATCTGGGCACCAAGTATGCGCCCAATGATGTGGTCTTCTGGTACTACGGGAGCAGAGGCTCACACTGGTGATTTCATGGCGTCCGAGATCTCGAGGATTATTGCTGAAGTTGAAAGTGTTGCTGGAATTGGAAAGGTTTCAGCTGTGGTATCTGACAACGCCGCGAACATGAAGAAGGCGGGGCGTCTAGTGGAGGTGGAACATCCGAACGTGGTATTCAATGGGTGCTCGGCACATGCTATGAATCTGCTACTTAAGGACATCTTCAAGATCGAATTGTTCGCCGACGTCCTCAAAAACGCCGTAAAACTGGTCAGCTTTGTACGTGCAAGACATCTATTACTGGATCGAGTTCGCTCGCTGAGGCGTAACCTTTCGCGCCGTGAGAAGGCTGGGGAGCTATCGACCCCTGTGTCGACAAGATGGTATGCTCAAGAGAAGTGTATTAAAAGTGTGATCCGAAACAAGAAGTCATTGATGGCCGCATTTGCTGACTCCAACGTTATGGAATCCTACAACGACAAGGAGAGTTTACGCAAGTTAGTCGAGGTTCGTACAATTCTGCAAGACAAGCGGTTTTGGTCCAAAGCCAAGCTTGTACTTCGGCTCACAAAACCAATAACGCGGGCGCTAGCGATCTTTGAGACAGATGCTTGCTCAAACTCAATGATTTTAAACGAGTTTATTCGACTTTTTCAAGCCCCCGAGTACGCTCCGAGTGATGCATCATCAGCGAGGACTTCTGTCCAAAACGACATTCGAAAACTCATTGCCAGTCGCTGGAATTTCATCCGTCCTCCGTCAGACTCGACAACAATTGCCTACATCTTGGATCCTTCGAAGGACATCTCCATCTTGCCAAGACGGACACTAGCTAACGAAACTCTTGAAGAATTACCTGATTGCGGACTTTCAACAGAACTGGTCGGCATACAGCGTGATGACAACGTGGAATCCTATGGTGGTTCACCTATCGACCAACCCCTCAGGAGAGCTGTTGCTAGCGCGGTTAAACTTGCGGAGCGGTTCGGCCTTCCACCAGACGTGACGCCAGCTCGTTTTCGCTCTGAATTACTTGCATTTGTGAAGATGAAGAAGAACTGGACCGCTGAGCAAAGAGAAGAAGCGAGTTTGGATACTCCTTTGGAATGGTGGACCCTCGATACTAGCTTTCCTGTTCTTCACAATTTTGCTGAGAAGATGCTGAGCATTCCGACGTCGTCTGCTGCAAGCGAGCGCCTTTGGAGTGTTCATGGATTCACACACAGCAAGCTTCGCAATCGACTCAAGGTTGAAACTGTTGAAAAGCTGTCGTTCATCTACACCAACAACGGCGACGCGCGCCCGACTCAGTCACCTCTGTATAAAACGCCGCCTGCAACACCTGATGCTGCCATCGACAGTGACGCTGACAGCGATAGTGATCAAGACAACGAAGACGACGACTGTATGTTTGATTTGAGAGAGCGAGAGTTCGACTACCTGCTCGACGCGATTGTTAGTGTCGATATTTCTAACTAGCAGCGCGTCCGACTGGAGGAAATGCTGGTGATATAGTGTACACCGCGCCGTGGCAGTCCCGTAATACAAGCTCTTACGAACTCGCTGTCAATCAGGCTCTAAATATACTGTTGCGTTATTTTTCATTTGTAATACATGTAGCCTCCTTTGCTCCTGCACTGCCGTCACTGCGCGACGGTCAACCTTCTACTTCCACTTCCACCTTACTGCAAGCCAGCGCAGTTACCACCGACAACTATATGTCTGCGATTTCGTGGTCGGCACCGTCGTGTTACGTGTGATCAGCGTCGTCGAGTCTGCATCGGCCGTCATCATACTCAGCGACAGCGACGTCACGTCCAGCAGAAGCAGGTTCTACGGCTTCTCCGACGAGTCGTTGCGGCTCAGAATGGCAGCCTGTACGGTGGCGCCATAGGTCACAGCCCCGTCGATTTGATCAACTTGATGGACTCCTTCCTGTTGAAGAAGTCCGACAGCAGGCGACCTCGTGCACCTGGCGCTTGAGCAGCTTGGCGTCGCGAAGCTCTCCACCGGATCCATTGTCTTGCGGAAGTAGTAGCCGCACATGGCTTCGAAATGGGTAAACATGATGGTTAAGTTAAAGTCGATCCCGACAAACAGAGAGTCGACCTCAATGTAGGCCTCGCCCACGACGATAGCGTACGCTCAGCGCGCTCGCAGGCAGCCCGCAGACGACGAAACGCACGCTGGTTCTCCGTGACGTACTTGCGGCGCTTTAACTCTTTCGCGAAGTGCTCCACCAGTTTTGTCGAAGTCCTCGTCACCCAGGTGCGTGTTACGGTCAGTGGCCTTAACCTCAAAGATGCCCGCTTCAATGGGCAGCAGCGACTCATTAAAGGTTCTGCCACTCAGGTCGAAGACCAGCACTTTGCTCTCGCCATCCTTCTTGTCCTGGCCGTAGGCAATAACAGCAATCGTCGACTCGCTGAAGGTGCGCGGCACGTTCAGACCGGCGATGTCGCCAGCGTCCTTGGTGGCCTTGCGCTACGAGTCGTTGGAGTAGGCCAGCACGGTGATGACGGCGTTCTTGGACGCCTAGACGATAAAGGCCTGTGCTGGTTTGCGCATGTTGATCAGCACGTTGGGCGAGATCTCCTCCGAGGAATCCTAGGCCTGTTATGTCCTGCTTACAGTGCTGTGATCAATGGCACGCTTCCCTTCTCCGTCGCCATCGGCGTGACGGTTGGCCCTTGGTGCAGGCAGTGCACAGCAGCGCGATCACCACTTGAACGAGAGCTCTTTCTGTAAATAAAAAATAGTATGATGCACAATGTGTGGCCCACACTGGGGCGTTTTGCTCCTTTTTATTATTAATAACTGCATATAAAACGGTTAATAGACGTTATGTACCCTAAAAACGCTAAAAACCTACTAAAAAACAACACTACTCGCAACGCTCGACGACAGGAACGGCCTAAAGATCATCGTCCCAAGATCGATGTACATGTAGTCAGTTCATGAAGACAACCGCCTTCTCGATAACATGCCATGTTTCGGGCTTTTGACATCATTTCTGGTTCGGGGATTCTAATACCCGATGGAGAAACGATGTTACATGTATTAATAAAGCTCGAGGGCGAAATCGACCACTAAATTGACAAAGTACATATTTTACAGTTTTTTACTCCAGTATACCGATATTAGCCTCTCTTTTTTAAAAAAAAAAGGTAGTGTTCGCTTTATTCAAAAATAAAAAGGGCTTTTGTTGATTAGTATTTTGGGGCTCAAACTCATACTTTATTTTGGGGGAATCCCAAAATAACATCCCAGATTTGCTAAACACATTAAATTCGGTTTCATTGAAAAAAAACTACATTTGGCTAGAAAAGGGAGGATCGCCTGTAAACCCGTCTATCTGCAGGCCGAAAGGCGTGACGAATGAGTAAAATGAATCTCTTATCATTCAAGGTGAACGAGAATATTCTTCCAGGTAAAGAGGACAGTGTATGTTGTGTTCAAATGATACGCCGAATCAAAAGGCCCAACCAATTGCAACGAAATAAAAAAAAGCGTAAGTTAAAGTACGTGACTTAAAACACCTTGGCCAAGATACGGAAATCATCCAAGAGTTCATCGCCCGACTTGAACAGAACAAGCTGCATTACGCTGTTCCAACTATAACCTTGAACTGCCTATTAATAAACAGGATGACAGTAGTAATAGTGACTATTAATTATGTGTGTTAAAAGACCAAATAACCTATTAAAAAGGGTTAATAGAATTTGTTTAAATACAATAGTGCTCTTAACTTATTCTACTTGTCTTTGGAGTACCGTGAAGTCGCTCTCATTAATTTCAACAACAAAGTGACTAAAATTTAGTCAATTTGTTGTTGAACATATAAAATGTATCATCGGGAAATCAAAATGTGCGTTTTCTTGAGATTTTTCCAATGAACATTTATTTAAGTGGCCTAATATTAACCCTTTCGTGGCCAATGGGGGCATTTTGCCCTTTGGAGGGTGTATCCTCGAGTGCCACTCGTGTCACCCACGAAAGGGGGCAAAATGCCCCCATTCATTATTTATTTTTGTGTGGTGGACGAAGCGGAATCACCCTTTCTACTTGAACTACATGGTTTGTAGAAGATTTGCTGTAGTACCGTAGTTTATAAAGGGGGGCAAAATGCCCCCTTTGGTGGGCCTAATGACTTGACCTTCTAAACTATAATATAGACAGGTCAATAGTGCCCGTTGACAAAAGGATTAACATAAAAAGCAGTTTCATAAGAAATTGGTGGTGGTTTAATGTTAAGATGACAGTAATTTAGAATTGATGCTAAACCATTAATTTCCTGTTGTCGGATAGTTTAAAAATACATATATTTGTTTGAGAATTCAACTTTTTTTAAATGTGTAATGAGATTTCTTAACAGAAATATCAGCTGGATATTAGATATCAAGCCAAATGGCTCACATATACGTTGTTGGTATCTTATCCGGTTTACAAGAGAAGTATACTAGGGCTGCTTGCACACGATTATTGGATTCTCGCTCGTTTTCCGTTTTATTCGCTTTTGGTGACCCCCCCCCCC